AGATGCCAAAAAATGCGAGAAAACCCCGGGTGCGACAACGGTGGCCCGTGCTGGCACCTACACGTGCCGTGAATCGACTCGTGCTGGACACCCCTGTGCCGTGAAACACGGCACGGTAAACGGGAACGGCCGTTTTCACGGCACGGGTGACTCACGGCACGGGTGACTACCTCTAGAGATAAGCTTTCATTCGGACTGGTCGCACAGCCTTTCATTCAGTGGCTCTTCAAGAGTGCGGGTTGGAAAAAAACCTGTAACCGAACGAGAACTACATTCTTTTACTGGCGGACGTCTGTGCAATCCACTGGACGAACTACTGGACAATCCCTAGACGAATGACGACGCTCTTTGCCCTCATCGATATAGATGGAATTGTACGGTAGAGTGTGCCACCACCAACATGCACTGCCGCGCTATATGTAACTTTTCAATTTGCGTACAGTGCTCTATTCCCCCAGCCCCGGAAAAAGTTCTTTCCCCGACTTTCCGCAATGAGCCGTACGGAATGTAGGTGGTAGATGATAGTCCTTTATTCCGATGGTCCAGACTCATGTAACGCAGGTTGTGAAGCCAGCACTTGGGACTCTCTCTTTTGGACGCTCCATTTCCGCGGCGTCGCCTTGCGGCCGGCAGCTACCAAGCGTGGTCCAAACAGATCACTCTTTCCGTTCCGACGGATTGCATCCCGCATTCCTAAGCTAGCACATCCAACGGGATCGCTTGACCTTTCACGCGGATTCACGTGAACGTCACGAAAACGACTGATTCACGAAGCATGCCGCCTTACACGTCCTTCCCTAGGATCGACCGGCCCTGGTCGATGGCAAATGTTTGTCATGCTGACAGTTCACGACATGGCTTCAGGCATCAGGCTACACTTAAAATGACACATTAGCGACCCTGGTATGGCCTCGATTTTATTCTGAATTCGAAATTCGGAGAGAACTCTTTTATCGCATGCAACACGCAACCCTGGGTCGATTCTTCTGGCCGAGCCGGGCCCGCGCCGGGCCGAGGATAGGCCGGCCCGGTTGGGCCCGGTTAGGGGCTCCAGAACTGACAAATTTAGCTATTTCTCTGCCAAGTAACCTGAAAAAAATCGCTATGGCGGCGCCTGCGGCAGGCTATTTTAGAAGATTTAGAGGATCGTAACTGTACATAGTACACTGCACACCTTACACTCAGCTACCGAAGGAACTGTCCGCCTGGTGGCTCAGTCGCCGAAGCGACTGGCCCCGTACACTGACGAACACTGGCTTATATACTCTTAAGGTGCACGGAAGTGGAGCTCGGCCTGATGGCCTCGCTCCACCTCTTCGTATGTTACAACACGTGGCGGGTGGACGCAGACAATACAAGCATGATGAGAGAGTGGTCGGCTGACAAATGTACATATCTGTGGCTGGGGTACTCACACCTGCATTAAGGAAAGCTTACTCCGCTCCGCTAGAAGAGGGAATACCCGGATCGAAGCAAGGACATGCGAAATTCTTTCTCTCCGAATGCCGGCGAAATCTAGCCGCACAGCTACATTGGCGCTTTTGTAAACAATAAAACCTGAAATTCGTATGTCAGCCTCTGTTGGGCACTAAGTAGTAGTTAGCATGGGCCCGACATGGTAGCCTACAACTTACTCTAGTGTTCTTGATTTTTGCCAAGCCCAGAAAGACAAAGCCCAGTCCGAGGCCCCTCAAAAATGACTATTCGTGCGAAATACTTGTTCGTCGTGAGGTCATTTACGACAATCTTGTGAAGGGACCGAGACACCATAACCAGCTCTCGAACTTAATACGTCGGTTGTTGTACCTTGTGTGGGGCCAGTATTGTATGGGGGTGGGTCCCCCCAATAAAAAATACTGCCCCCTCCTCCGCATACGGCACAACAACCGGTACGATAACTGGATGCTATTGCGGGAATGGAAGGGGGACGAACCCAGACTAACGTGTGGTGTGGCGCCAACATGGATCGGGGTGTTGATATAAAAAAAACACCCAAGGGGGACCGAGGCATTTCATCTGGGACCCCTGCAGAGAAGTCAGAATGACAAGGGCCGCAAGGCACCCAGAAAGGCTATTTTTAAAGAACTAAATACATGCAAATTCATGAGACTGTCTGCGACGTTTGGACCAAGACGCGAATCCCAGCTCCAGACTTTAGGTAAAAAGCTCTTATACGTCCCCTCGTTATACCCCAAAACCTGGCATCACCAGCGCGTCCATACGCTGCAAACGGAAGCGTTTATACGTCTTAATTATCGCCATTTGATAAAGGCCAAGGACGCAGTGGACATGTTCAAAATGCCTTTTCATAAGATAATAAAAATTAATAAAAAAATAATCCATACAACACAAGTCGGCTCTCGGGAAGGGAACAAAAAAAATTTGAGCTACTCCCCCGAGTTTGGTATCGTTCAATAGCCCTTGAAAAACTGTTGAACAAGTTTAAATTTCAATCGAATCGGTTGCGTTTTCGAATTTTTATGATTTTTTGAAATTTCGAAATTTTGCGTTTTTTGTTCTTTCGCCTGTTGTAAATCCCAGTTATTTTCTGCTGTTTGAACATACTCCATCGAGGTCGGTTTCATTCGATAGCTCTTGAAAAACTGTTGAATAAGTTAAAATTTCAAACGAATCGTTTGCGTTTTCGAAATTTTATGATTTTTGGAATTTCGACATTTTGCCTTCTTTGGTGCTTTCGCCTGTTGTAAATCACAGTTATTTCACGCTGTTCGAACCTACCCCGTCGAGTTTGGTACCATTCGATAGCCCTTGAAAAACGATGGGAAATGTTAAAGTTTCAAAATTATCGGTAGCGATTTCGAATTTTTATGATTTATGAAAGTCCGGCGATTTTCCGGTTTTCTGTCCTTGGGCGCAGTGGTAAGTGACCGGGTCGCACGATTCTCGTGGTCGCCGGTTCGATCCCGGCCGGGGAAAAACTTTTTTTCACGCTACACGCCGGCGTGGCGTGAAAAGTTATT